GTAGCATAGCTTTACAGTAGTTTATACAATACTAAACCACAATGATGCTTTGTTCAATATTATACAATGTAATGTATGTACAATCAGCAATGATGACAAACTCCATAAAAGTTAAATTAAAGGGTTTTAAAATTGACAATTTTATATTATTCATTTTTTCTTTCTTTTTCTTTACTTGCATTGCATGATTCCTGGCTGGTTGGGGCAAAACGTATTAATTTGGGGAAAATGTGTTTAAAGTTTTTTTTGTGTGGATTTATTTTAGGATCTGGTGTCGCACCTTGAATACATCTTTTGCCTACTATTTTCACAACCTCCCATCAACCATCCTGCAAATAAACAACGTTTGATTGAAACAATTGAGCTGACAAAAGAAAATGCTGAACAGAGAGCATCAGATTTCACTGGTCTTTCATGTGCAACTCTTCGCCGTAATGTTGACTTTCAAAACTTGCAGACCGGAAAGCATACTCGGGGCTTCCAGATTGATAAATGCGGGTTGCGTCAATCAAAGCGCTTAATTAAATTCAAAACCGCAGAGCCGAGGGAGGTAGATCTGAATCCTGTGGCCTCTGGTGACATTTCCCGTTTGTGTCTTGTGTCTTTCCGAGGGCTCCCCGTCTCCCACTGCCGCCCTTTACAATTCAGATTTATGGAAATTTGCTCTAATAGTAACCTGTGCCAAGCTTGACAGACAGCCCTGATGAGAAGTACTTCCAGTTTGTGTGTGTGTATAAATCCGTAAGCAGATTGTCGGTCGCGGTAATAAGTGCGAGTCCGAGACACTGTTCGTTTGTGTGTAAAGCAGTGATTTTGTGTGAACGTCTGCGTGTGTTTGTTCGGCAAGGAGGTGGCGACTGTGGGAGGGTGAACAAAATGCATTAGAATAACAATAATAATATTATAATCTCCCCTCAGCAGAGTTGCGGGACTGTGTCAGGAGTGAAAGAGAGAGTTTATGCTCACAGAGTCTAAGTGTGGAGGATGCAGTGATGTCGCAGCATGTTGCGGGTGAAAGGCAGAGATTAGATCCGCACCCCCTTGTTTGCATTCGGGGATAAGAACGCCTGCTGACGGCTGCTAATTCTGATGTCATGTTGACATGGCTTTTTCTTTGGGAATTCACAATGTGTGAGGGATTTAATGGACTTTGATATGCTTCAGTCAGACTGTATCACTCAGTGTCGTGGTGAGAAAGAGACCGAGATAATAGCGGGAAACTGGTCTTTAAAATGTTGCCTGAGGATCGAATTGTCTTGCGAGCATATAGTGTAGCTGACCGCTCAGTACAAAAAGTTCATTGCTACAGCTGGGATAATTAGGACTGTGCCTTTTAGTGGTTTTGACATTTGAATTATGAATACACAGCAAACTAATGGGCATTCTGATGAAAATCCTCTCTTTTTTATTTTTTTATTTTTTTTATAGATAAGGACTAGTTAGAATAAGACGGGCTCCTACTTTTTAGCATATAGGGTTATAAGTAGGTGTCTGATTGGCCAGATAAACGTGACATCATTAGTTTAAGACCTTAGCTTTTAAAGTTTACCACCAAATGTGGCGTTTGATTAATCTCTGTTTGATTGAATCTCTGGGGAAATATCATATATACAAACTAAAATGGGCTATTCTTTTATATATATATATATATATATATATTTTAATTATTATTATTATTTTTAATTAAATTTCCCCACTTTTAGTCTGTGAGGCATTCATATTGACATTTTATTCTTTAAGCGGATGGATTTTAAATAAATAAAAATAATTTATTTTATAGATTTATTCATTACGCAGTTGGAGAGGAGGGGTTGAAATATATGAGGTCTTTGTGACATCATCTGAAAAGGAAAGTTGTTTCAGAGGTGAAACATTTTATTACAATTGGAGGAAACATTAAGATAACCAAATTTTTCTTCTTAATAATATCACACTCTAAAAATTGCTGGGTTGTTTTAACCCAACCTTAGGTCAAATATGGACTAACCCAGCCATTGGGTTAAGTTTTATTAGTACATTTTTAACCCAACGTTTGGGTTTGTCCATATTTGACCCAAAGTTGGGTTAAAACAACCCAGCATTTTTAGAGTGCAGGCACCAAAAAACGGTAAAATACGGTAAAGTGTATTAAGAAAATAAATGGGGTCCATTTTGATTTCATGTTGACTTTAAGAGTAAAAGTTAGTTGCAAAATCATCATTTTGCACACTCAAAGTCATTTTTTACAGCTCCCACCCGATAGTTTCCTGAAAGAAGAGTTCAATAGTCCCTGACGAAATAAGACCAACAGGAAGCCATGTGGTCAGTGAGAGTGTAATCCGTCCCTACTTCACACTGTGTCATTTCCCTATGGGGATGTGCTCGGCAGTGGGAGCTGGCACGGAGAGAGAAGCAACCATTACTGGCGCAGCCGGAGCTCCCGCAGAGACAAAAGAAATTATAAATATCACTACACTGCCACGACACCCTGCTCTCACAAAGCCTCTCATTATCACCACCAGAGAATGTCAGTGAAGAAATAAAGACTAATGGACTAACCTCTCCTCCTAATCGTTTTTTAGACGCACTCCCACAAAGTGCCGCTTCCCTCAAGGAAAATTAGACTTTCTATTTTTAACTTGCTAAAAAAAAAATGGCAACAGAGATAAGACTCTTCGCTGCCAAGCGTTCGGCCTTTTCAAAGGCAACAACTTCTCAAACTTTGTTTTCTTCTTCCTTGCTGCTTGATTTTTGTCTGCTTAAATAACTTTCTTCTCTTTGACGTTGTGAATGTTGGTATTTATTTAACCATTTAGATTACATGCTCAAAGATTAGTCGTCATAGGAATGACGGATTAATCCCAGGCATGAAATTCCAAAGTGTCTTTTTTTTTTCCATTCCACAACAATTAATAGGATTTTCCGCCATAACGGGATTGTGGTTTAGGTTCTTTATCTGAAGCAGTAGAATACCTCTAAATATGAATTTAAAAGATCAAACAACTTTGGTTCTATTGTTAAGTAGCTTATAAAAGGAAGGAAAATATGTAATGGTACACGTGGTTGGGGGGTGGAGGGGTGAACTCCCTCTGCTCTTGTATCCATAGCGTGAGCCCTTTAGCCGGGCTCTCCATCAGCCCTTGGAGCTTAAAATCACCCTTCTGTCCATTGAAATAGTCCGCCTTTGATTGAATTGTGGGTAGAGTCTGTGATGAAACACAACATAGCATTACTCTTTCAACCCTAAACCATTTCTAATGTCCCTATAAAGTATAGCTCATACTTCTAGAGATTTGGTCTGGCAGGAATCTGATCATTACGGTAACAACGTATTCTATAGATGAGCTAACCGAAGGCCGCTGTGGGTTAATGCAGCACTAACGTGTGGTTTGTTTTGCCTCACTGTTCATTAAGGAAAACAACAGTTTTCCTGTACAATAATCACAGCCTCAGCACTCACTGGAATGTAGTGGTTTTCCTGTTCGTTCAATCTGCACACTCACATTTAGCCCCACAATGAAATCCAAGGCCGTGCATTCGGATATAACAAGCTAAACATTCCATGCCCCCATTTTTGGGGCTTGATTCAGTGTAAAAGATACCAATGTGGCCCGAAAAATGTGCTCTGTGCTCGTGCACATTTCAGCCGAGGAATCTTTTAGAAGCATAGGCTTGAATTCGCCATGGTTCACAAGAGATTAGTAGTGCTAAATTTGGACCCATCTGAACAGCATTGAATCCCAGAGGTCAGTTTAATGTAAATGTGATGAGCGGATTATAACCCAGGGATGGATTTTCACATGATAAAATGACACTCGGTGGAGCCATGTGCTGATGCTCAGTCAGATGGAACTGAAATAACAGTCAGGGGCTCAGTGGAGTGCTAGTGAGGGTTTCTTTGTTAAAAAGCAAGTGCTTTCAATCCAAAAAAGTGCCAATGGTTACAGTGCATTAATGTGCATATATATGTCTACTCTATACACACAATTTTTACTATAATTTTTACTTGAATGATTAAATTTTTCAAATGATATTCCCAATCTTTTTATGTGACTTACTGACGCAGGTGCAACTCCACCACAAATCAAACCAGAGACACAGGCAGGACATTTGAATAAAAGCATAGTCTCTTGTGGTTGTGAGGTCATAATGGATATGCTAATGAGGTAACTGTTACCTTTCCATTTGTGCACTGTATGGTTGTGAATCACTGTCATGGTGAAAAAAGCTCTGGCCAAAATGCCTGTGCTGTTGTCTCCACAATACAGATGCCTGTTCTGACAAACCTACCTAAATCGCGCCATTATCTCTATAGGCTCTGGTGTGACGAACCAATGATTCACAGGTGCAAACATTGACATGGTAATCTCTTCCGAGAGCCAAGTGTAAAAGACTGACTTCAAACAATAAAAGGAAGCTAAGAGGCGAATCAGTCGCATCTATTCAATTCTTTGGCCAGGCTGCATAATAAGCAGAGTCCTGTCAGGCGTCGCAGAAAAGAGGGGGGGGAAACACAAAGCATAATAAACAAAGCCCCTATTGCTTCTGTTCCTGACAGCACTGCTGCTAAACTTTGAACAGTCGTTATTTACACCATTCGGTCCCCTCTTCAGTGCAGCTGTCGCTACGACATAAAAAGAGAGAAGCCACTCGCTCTGAGCCAGCAGGGAACAGGGGAAAAAAGGGTTAGGGAAAAGGAAGAAAAGAGAGAAGTGGTGGTAGTTACTCGAGCAAAATCATACTGGATAAATTCAGTGATGGTTTGCGGTTGGAGAGAAGAGGGGATTTCACTGCTGAAGGTGAGGCCTAAAAGCTAGAAGGCTGCAGAAAATTGCTTGTTCAGCAGATGCCAGATAACACATCCAGGGTAACGTGCTTTGCACCTCCAGCACGTGCGAAGTCCCACAAAAGAGCAGCGTGAAGGACAAAACCAACCCTAGGATTATAGCCAAGCTAATATACTGCACCCCAGAACTAAGCTAGAGCACGTTTATGACAAAGAGGATAGCTAAACTATGTTGTGCCGCCCATTGAATGAATGCGAGACTCCGGTTTCCTTAACAGATGTTTATTAACACCGTAGAACTAAAAGTTCAGATAAACAAACAAAAGACAACATAAAACATTGCAATCAATTGCATGGATCACATGGCTTGCACTGAAGCTAAAGAATACAGAAAAATACTGACCACTTTAGCCTGCTTCTCAATCAACGGCAGAGTCATTCCCCAGAAGCAATCTTCATAGTCAAAATATGATTCTTCAACTTGTACACATTTACAGCAAACACCATGAAAAATTAAGCAACAATAAAGAAAAACTAGAAGATGCCATCACCGACACATGTGCGCGTTAACCTCCTCTGCCGCACACTGCGTTTTCTTCGTCTGTAGCTCACTGTGCAACAGACCTTCCTTCCGGTTTTACTCATGTCAAAATAAAAGTAAGTATTTTTAAAATAAATACAACAAAAAAAAAAACACGGCTGCATTTACACTCCCACCATCACACCTTGTGATTCACATTACAACATTGTCAACAGAATCTTGTAAAACATTGATGTAAATACACATACACCTTCAATTATAAACAAAACGATATTGAAGAACTAACCTACTTACTCAGCCTCAAGCAATAATACTGTTTTGTGTATTGACCTTTCTAAGTAAAGTGGCTTATTTGAGCGTGTGCCTTTACTGTCTAGTGTTGTGTCACTAAGTAACAGCTTGAGTTTTCGGACTCTTCCGTCAGCTCCTTGGAAGACTTCAACTACCTTCGCAAGCTTCCACTGAGTTCTTGGTGAGCCATCATCTTGCAACAGGACAATGTCATTCACTTTAGCATTTCTCCTTTCCTTGTTCCATTTGCTCCTCTGCTGCAGATTCAGCAAATACTCCTTTCTCCACCTGGTCCAAAATTCATTGCACAAGAACTGTACTCTCTTCCATCTTTTCTGAAGATAGAGATCTTCCCTTACAAACTCACCAGGTGGTGGAGCGATTATTGACGATTTCATCGTCAATATGTGGTTTGGTGTTAGGGGTTCAGGTCCTGAAGGATCATTGAGATGTTCTGTGGTCAATGGTCGACTATTCACTATAGCCATCACTTCGTACAGGAATGTTCTTAATGAAGAGCTGTCTAATCTTCCAGCAGACTGGTCTAGGATAGATGTGAGGACACTTCTCACGGTCCGAATCTGCCTCTCCCAGACGCCGCCCATGTGACTGGAAGCAGGTGGGTTCATGACAAAGTTGCATCCTAGCTCTTTCACATGTTCTCGCTCCATCCCTTTCATTAATTCTTGGAATTCATTGCGTGCTCCCACGAAGTTTGTGCCTTGATCACTTTGAAGCTGGCTTACATTGCCTCTTATGGCAATAAAACAGCGCAACGCATTTAGGAAGGCATCAGTGGAAAGGTCATCCAGCACCTCAATGTGGATGGCACGTGAACACATGCAGGTGAATAGAAGCCCATATCTCTTCAGGTCTTTTCTTCCATCTTTAACATAAAATGGTCCGAAGCAATCCATACCACTATAAGTAAATGGAGGAGTAGCTTCCATCCTCTCTGGTGGAAGGTCGGCCATTTTTTGTTCTTGACTACACCTTCTGAGCTTTCTGCATTTGATGCACTTGAAAATGAGTGATGACACTTCACTACTACATCCAAGGATCCAAATCCCACTGGAGCGTAGTTCATTGATGGTCATTCCACGACCCTGATGCTTCACCTTCTCATGATAGTGTTTTATCAACAACCGAGACACATGGTGTCCTTTGGGAAGGATAGCTGGGTGTTTGACATGAGGGTGAAGCGTTGCTTGTGTCAATCTACCTCCCACCCTCAGGATATCTTGGCTGTCCATAAAGGGGTTCAACTTATGCAGTTCGGTTGACTTGCTCCTTTGTACATCACCCTTTTGTTTAAGAGCCTTGATTTCATCCTTGAACGCTTCTTCTTGAACTGCACGGAATATGAATTTTTCAGCATCCATTCTCTCATCAAGTGCCGTAACTTCATTGGATCTTATTTTAAGACCTTTCACCTCCTTTGCAAGACGCTTAAGTCTTGCTATGGCTCTTATTACCCTCTTCCAGTCTGAAAACTTCTGAAGTCGGTCTGATAGGGACCTTTCCTTATTTGCTATGGTTGTGTGAACATGTGCTCTTCTGATTTCTGGGTCATCCTCATTGAGTTCTTCCACCTTAATCTCTTCTTTATGGAGGTCCTTTTGCCACAAGAAACTAGGTCCAGTGAACCAGTTAGACTCTACAAGCTCCTTTGCGTTGAGCCCGCGCGAGGCATGGTCAGCCGGGTTACTGTCAGATGCAACATATTGCCATTGACTTGGATCCGTGCTCGACTTAATCTGCTGAATCCGATTGGCTACAAATACATGAAATCGCCTTTCATCATTGTTAATATAACCAAGAACGACCTTTGAATCAGTCCAAAAGTATTCTTGCAGATCTTTAATCTCCATTTCTCTCCTTAGCAGATCACTTGTCCTTGTGGCCACGACCGCAGCTGAGAGTTCCAGCCTTGGGATAGTTGTTATCTTAGTTGGTGCAACCCTTGCCTTGCCCATAACAAGAGCGCAATGGACTTCTTCAGACTTCGAAACAACTCTAAGGTAAGAACACATTCCATAGCCAGAGACACTGGCATCGGAGAAATGGTGAAGTTCACACTGACGAACATCCTTGGCTGCCAATGGTATGTAATGCCGTGGTATCTCTACCGAGGACAGACTATGAAGGTCTTGGAGCCATGCTTCCCAATGTGGCCTAAGGTCGTCAGGAAGTGGGTCATCCCATCCTACCTTTTCCTGGCACATCCTTTGTAGTATCTGTTTACCCTTCAAAAGAATAGGTGCCACAAATCCAAGTGGATCAAAAATTGAGGCCACTGTTGACAGTACTCCTCTTCTGGTAAAAGGATGCTCTTTTACCTTCACTTTGAACTGGAACTTATCCGAGCTAATGCACCATTGGACCCCGAGAGCCCGTTCCATCTTGTGCTCACCCAAGGCCATGTCCAGGTCCGCTACAACTTCAGCAAGTTCTTGCTTTGGAATTGTGGCAAGAACCTTCTTGTTATTGCTGATGAACTTGTGTAAGCGGAGTTTACCGGTGCTGCAGAGGTCTCTTGCTTCTCTAACAAGCTTGATAGCTTCTTCTTCACTGTCCAAACTTGTTAGTCCATCGTCAACATAAAAGTTGCGTTGTATAAACCTTACAGTAGCTTCACTGAACTTGCCTTCTCCTTCTGCAGCAAGGTGTTTGAGCCCAAAGTTTGCGCATCCAGGTGACGATGCAGCGCCGAACAAGTGAACTTTCATGCGGAACACTGACGGTGGAGCTTCCATATTGCCTCTTTCCCACCACAAAAACCTGAGATAGTCTTGATCCATTGGTGCAACATGAAATTGATGGAACATCCGCTCTACATCACACATGATGGCTACTTGTCCTTTGCGGAAACGACACAAGACCCCTACAAGGGTATTTGTAAGGTCTGGGCCGGTGAGTAGATGCTCATTCAATGATGTATTCTGAAACTTAGCTGAACAATCAAATACCACACGAATCTTTCCTGGCTTTTGGGGGTGGTAAACCCCATGGTGAGGGATATACCACGTGTTCTGATTGATCACCTCTGACTCTGGAACCTTTTCAGCGTCACCTCTTGCTATTACGTCCTCCATAAAGGCCACATAATCCTTGTGATATTGACTGTCTTTCTTAAGACGCTTCCCCAGACATTTGAGTCTATGTTCTGCACACACCTTGTTGTTTGGCAGACTTGGCCTCTCTTCCTTGAAAGGCAATGGCATTTCGTAATGCCCATTTGCCTTCTGCTTGATTCTCTCCTTTAGCTTCACCAAGAACTTAATATCTTCTTGTGAGATTAGAGATTCTTCACTGAACTTCTCAGTAAAATCTGACTCAAAGACCTTGAGTATATCTGCTGGAGTGATCATTTCCTTCACTTGAGTCCTATAAACAAAATGAACCTCAGACTTGAGCTCAGAAGAGGGCTTAGTGGCTGGCTGAACTTTCTTTATGATGATCCGGTGACTCACACCAATTTCATCTTCATCAGCATAGTCAATTACAGGTCTGCTGTAGCCAATAATGCTCCAACCCAACACAGACCTTTGTGCATATGGCTGGGTTTCATTGCCCATGATGACCTCTCTGGGAAGTAAGGCTTGTGGACAGTTATAGCCGATTAACAATCCCACTTCACAGTCAAGCTCAGGAGACATCTCATCCGCCAAATGCTCTAAGTGAGGCCAGGATCTTGCAGTTGTACTTGTGGGTATATGGGATCTGTTTGCTGGTATGTAATCTCTGGTATAAGTTGTTGGGAGTTTGATTTTAGTGTCAGAGCTGATGCCTCTTACCTGTAGTCCTTGCACCTTTTGGCTATTCACCACCTTTGTTTTTGATGTTATCGTGGACACTTTGAGTTTTACTGGCTCTCTCTTGGCACCCAATGTTACAGCTGCCTCCTTCAGAATGAACGTGGTGTCGCTCTGACTATCAAGTAAAGCATACACTAAAACTTCCTTGTCTGGTTCCATTGTCGTGGAGACATAGACTGGAACGATAGATGAAGTATAGGTGGTGCTCTTCTCTTGCACAACTCGATTAGAAGTAGCTTGTTGTATTTCAATCGGTTCAGACTGTTGGTACTTGTTTCCTTGCTCTTGGTCTTTCTTCTCACGATCTTGATGCAAGCAAGTGGGGTGACGTTTTCCACATAGGTCACATACACTCCTGGATGTACAAGCTCTGGAGTTATGGCCAATCCCAAGGCAGCCAAAACATAATTTCTCCAATTGTACAAACTTAACTCTTTCTTCAACTGGTTTTTCCCGAATCTTGAGACACCTATGGAGAGTATGGCCTTTCCTTTTGCAAAACATGCACGTGCTGCTTGTCTTCTCACTTGTATTAATGGTAAAAGTCTTAGCACTCAAGTTTTGATTTCGTTGATACTTAAACTGTTCTCGTTCGGTTGGCTTTGATCTTTCTTGTTCAGTAGGCTTGACAGCATATAATGATGTGATGGGGTTACATGCAATTCGAGCCTCCATGTTGAGAAATCTTACGAAGTATTTGAAGTCAGGGAACATTTGGTGTCCATCTTGATAAATCGTGGCTTCTCTATTCCAGCGTGAGCTCAGCCAATCCGGGAGCTTGACAGTAATCCTTTGGTTTTCCACACAGTCGTTGAGAGTTTGTAGACCTTGAACATATGGCATAGCTGCTTCAACACTGATCAAGAAATCAACAAACTCACGAAGATTTTCACTGTCTTTGGGGGCGATTTTATGCCATGCATGTATCTTGTCCCGATATGACTTGGCAACTATGAATGGATTACCAAATCTTTCTTCAAGTACATTCCAGGCAGCACGATAAGCTGCTTCTGTTCCTACAAGGAAATGGCCTTCAATAGCTCTCTTGGCTGAGCCGCCGACATACCTGCGTAGAAAGAAGAGCTTTTCTTGAGTTAGCAGGTTCTTGCGATCAATCAGAGTAGCAAAGGAAAGCTTCCAATCGTTGTACTTGAGAGGATCTCCTTTGAAAACTTCAGGTTCTGGAATAGGAAATCGATTAGCTGTGATTGCTTCAGCTAGAGTTCTCACAAGATCATTGGAAGTTTCATGAGAAGTAAACAGAGCCTGAGTGGTTGGTGCTTGTTGCATAAGTGGAAGTGCAGTTGGAGTGATGACTTGACTTACAGGGACTTGAGAAAATGTGTCTGGCTGTGGAGCAGAACATGAGGTGTACATGGAGGGATATGGGATTGGGTTTTTAGCGGCTGTGACCTCATGTGGGTGATGGACTTGACTGGACTTGACTTGTTGCACAGGAAGAGCTTGGGAGACTGGTGCTTGATAGGAGGGGAAAAATGGATCCATTAAAGGGTTAAGTGCAAGTGGTGGATCGACAGATTCTGAATAAACCTGCAGTCTTGCTTGAGCTGCAACATGCCCTTTAAGTTCTTCTAGCCGCTCTACTTCTCTTCTTTTCCCTTCCAGCTTTATTTTTCTATCAGCACTTTCTGCTATAAACTGAGCTCTTTTTTTAGCACTTTCTGCTTCAATTTCCCTTTCTTTAGCTTCTCTTTCAGCCTTCAAGATTTGGTCTTCCACCTCAAGTCTTTGAATTTCTTCTTTCTGCTGACGTTGTGCATTTGTTATCTTTATCACCTCTTGCGTAGCTACAACTTCAGCTGCCGCTTGTTTTGCATTAAGGGAGAGGATGGAAGAGTGTCTGGATACTTTGGAAGAAGCCTTTGACTTAGCGGTTTGAACTGAGGAAACACTAGATACGGTGCTGTCAAACACTGACTTAGCATCAGGCCAAGATATGAATTCTGAATCATCACCACTGCGGAAATGTTGAACATTTGTATTTGCAATCCTAGTGAATGCCTGGCATGTATCATTCATTCTTCGAATGTCAGGTTCAGGACTTGAAATGGCTCTTATTTTGAGGTAAGTATTGTCCATGTCAACTTGGATGGTATTGATTGCATTTATAATCTCATCAATCAGATCATCAGCATCATTATTCTTAATGGACCGTTTTAAGCCATTGATGTGATACTTCCACCTTCTGTACATCTTTACAAAACTCGCATTTAGATCCTTCGTTTTTTCATCTAACAGAGCCTTTCCCTTTTCAGTTAGCCTTTGTGTACGTCCAGATTTCCTAATTACAGGAGGCAGTTGTGTGTCATCTTCACCAACCTGAGATTGTATGTCCTGCACTGTGTCTTCAACTTGCTTAACAGCGTCAGCTTGCTGTGATAGGGTCGTTTGCTCTGCTTCACTGTCCTCTTGAAGGTCTCCATGACTGACCTTTTCAGTTGGAGGAAAAGTGTATTCTTTTGAGCGTGACATATTGAATGTACAGCTTTAAATGTGTCAAAATTTGAATAAATGTATTCTAAACTCTAATGTGTGCAACTATAAAATAGCATGAAATGTTGAAAAATAAAATATAAATCTCTTTGATTACCTTAACTTTACCTCTGAAAACTGCACAATAAACACTACAGTTTCATAATAACACACTTCAATGACCGAGTAATAAAGAGGCAATTAACAGTGTAAAAATAAATACCTCTTGGCAAAGTCTACATATGAAAACTCACTTGTATGCAAAATACTTTGATATTAACTTAAACCATCTTAGATTCAACTGGGGGAAGGTTACATTTACTTATCTACTTAGTTTCTTGGATTCTTATTAGATAACCAACTGCAGGAAAAGGAATGTCCAATGCCACTTTAAGAAAAAAAAAACCCACATTAAATGTCCGTGAGCAATTATGGCAGTACTTGCGCTACTATCGAGACAGTTCTCGTCTACGTGCTCGCTTGTGTAGCCTTGTCTGCTTGCCCTTTGAAGTCACACGAACAGTTCACGTGGCCTCTCCATTACCGCACGTGGCCTGCAGCTAGTCCGTCTTCATCCGCTCGGAGCCTTTCCCGAAACAGCAGTGTTCTACTGTGCCGCCCATTGAATGAATGCGAGACTCCGGTTTCCTTAACAGATGTTTATTAACACCGTAGAACTAAAAGTTCAGATAAACAAACAAAAGACAACATAAAACATTGCAATCAATTGCATGGATCACATGGCTTGCACTGAAGCTAAAGAATACAGAAAAATACTGACCACTTTAGCCTGCTTCTCAATCAACGGCAGAGTCATTCCCCAGAAGCAATCTTCATAGTCAAAATATGATTCTTCAACTTGTACACATTTACAGCAAACACCATGAAAAATTAAGCAACAATAAAGAAAAACTAGAAGATGCCATCACCGACACATGTGCGCGTTAACCTCCTCTGCCGCACACTGCGTTTTCTTCGTCTGTAGCTCACTGTGCAACAGACCTTCCTTCCGGTTTTACTCATGTCAAAATAAAAGTAAGTATTTTTAAAATAAATACAACAAAAAAAAAACACGGCTGCATTTACATATGTGTTAGCAAAGTCCTGTTGATAATTCTGCACAGGTCGTTTACCTTTTGTCTCTTTAGCCTCTACATGCAAATCACAAAGCGATTAACAATAGCTTCTATATCTTGACATGTTAGCAAAGCTCTGTTCACTTAAACCAAAATGTCTGCGCTAATTACAATTGTCGGACTGCTTTGCTTAATCATATGTGATTCTCTGATGTGCAGGCATTGTCTACACTAGTTAGCCCTCTCGTACCACCTACTGTAGCACTGATAATGCATGCAAATCAAACAAGGAGGAACAAATATGAGCAGAAATATGTTGAATGTGTTCGGGCAGTGTATCTCTAATGGCTGCCTTATTCGTTTAGGGATGATTGCTCTGGTGCCAATGATTAATCCCCCCAGGACTTAATGGTGTCAAAGGGATACAAAAAGAAAAGAGAGAAAAACACGAACAGAATTGGAAAGCATAATTAATGGATTCAGATCCTGTTAAACAGCCCCCTCACAGAGCAGATAGTAAAAACAGGGTGCATGGAACCGGCACCCAATTTGTTCACACTTTGTTGTAGTAATAAGATCCAGGCCTCCCTCATGCAGTGGATTGGATAATTAACTCCCAGGGATAAATTCAGAAGAAAGAAAGGCCCCCCTTTTGATTTATCATATGGGGGAGATGTCGCTCTACCGGTCTTTGCAAACTGCTATTACATAAATTGTCCACAATGTACTTTTCTCACTGTGAGAGTGACAAAATAAGGAGATAATAAGGAAGAAGCATGGCTCAAGAAACGAGAGTTTAATGTTAAAGGGATACTCCACTTTTTTTGGAGATAGCCTCATTTTACAACTCTCCCAGAGTTAAACAGTTGGGTTTTACCGTTTTCGAATTCAGCCGATTTTCTGATATTTAGAAGAATACCAGTAACCAGAGAGTTTCTGGTCTCATTGACGTCAATAGTATATATTTTTTCCTACTTTGGAAGTCAATGAGACCAGAAACTGTTTGGTTTCTGATATTCTTCTAAATTTCAGAAAATCGGCTGAATGGATTCGAAAACGGTAAAACCCAACTGTTTAACTCTTGCCCCCCAAAAAAGTGGAGTATCCTTTTGATATTTGTCATAAAAAAACTTTTAATCATACTTTTCCTGACATAAATGCATGACTCAAAAAATATTAGAGAAAAAAAACTAAATGCCTCAAACTATAAGAATAATAATTTACTACTCTAGAGACCTTTGACTGAGTTCCATTCTTAGAAACTGCTGTATCAGAGAAATAGCAAGCAGCGCAATTCATGTCATGCTAATTTCCGTTGCTTCGACGTGCTTCACCTTCCTGCATTGTGTAATCCTGCCCGACAACTCCTTTGGAATGTGAAGATAAACCTTTCCTACCATTGTCTATTAGAGAAGCTGCCCCCTCCTCTTGGGTTAGTAGACAGAGGTTCGTGTTAAAGGGGTGCAATTTCCATTGTCTGTTAGCTTTTGGATTACATGTGAGATGTTTTGATGCTGATTTACGTCCTCATCACTCTCGCTTTCTCTCTTTCAGAAAAAATGTGAAGACCCTGGTAAAGCACCGGACCACAAAGTTATCCTTCAGACTACGAGGACGGAGGTTGAGCCTTCTGATACTTCTTTAAACTCTTCATTTTCTAACCTGACGGGTCCCTCGGACCATGGAGGGACAGCGGGATTCACAGAGGACTTTGAAACAATGCCCTAGACAGGGTTCCACATTGTCCTTTACATGCTGGTTGTTAGTCTTAATATTGCCTGTAGTGTGCTGTGAACAGTCCTTTACAACATTTCACCCTGAGCGACGAGAATGGGCCTTCAACCACCTGACAGTTCACAAGACGACAGGAGCAATCTACATTGGTGCTGTCAACCGTGTCTACAAGTTATCGGGCGACTTAACACTCCTAGTGTCCCATGACACCGGTCCGGAAGATGACAACAAGGCCTGCTACCCTCCACTAATTGTTCAGCCTTGCAGTGAACCACTGGTTTCTACCAACAACATCAACAAACTCTTGCTCATTGACTACTCTCAAAATCGACTACTTGCCTGCGGAAGCCTCTACCAAGGTGTCTGCAAACTGCTCCGGTTGGACGACCTCTTCATCTTGGTGGAGCCCTCTCACAAAAAGGAGCACTACCTTTCCAGTGTCAACCAGACTGGCACCATGTACGGAGTCATTGTGCCTTCGCAGGGCAAGGATGGGACCCTCTTCATTGGTACGGCTGTGGATGGGAAACAAGATTACTTTCCGACCATCTCCAGCCGGAAACTTCCTCGTGACCCGGAGTCTTCGGCAATGCTGGACTACGAGCTACACACTGACTTTGTTTCATCGCTCATCAAGATTCCCTCCGACACACTGGCTTTGGTGTCTCATTTCGACATTTACTACATCTATGGCTTTGCCAGTGGGAATTTTGTCTACTTTCTGACTGTGCAACCAGAAACACCCGAGAACAGCATGTCTTCCAGCGGGCCCTCAAACGACCTGTTTTACACCTCTCGAATCGTCCGACTCTGCAAAGATGACCACAAATTCCACTCCTATGTGTCATTGCCTATCGGTTGCGTCCAAAACAGGGTTGAGTATCGCCTTCTGCAGGCGGCCTACCTGGGCAAGCCTGGGCGAGTGCTTGCAGCATCCCTTAACATTAGCGCTCAGGATGATGTGCTCTTTGCTGTATTTTCCAAAGGTCAAAAACAATACCACCATCCACCTGACGACTCGGCCCTCTGCGTCTTCAGCATCCGGGACATCAATGCACGGATCAAGGAGCGTATGCAATCCTGCTATCAGGGAGAGGGAAACTTGGAGCTCAACTGGCTGTTGGGAAAGGATGTACCTTGTACCAAAGCGGTAAGATATTTTTTATTATTATTACGAGCCATAACAACTAGCTTGCTGATTAGCTTGCTAAACCTTGTACTTAATCATGGAAGTTCTTTCCAAATTGTACTACTTTAATTGAACTTTCTTGTATGCTTTTAAGTGCCTATTGAATGCTGTTCTCTGAGCGCAATATACATTTTTGCCCTCAGAAACGGATAGTTCCCATGTCTGCTTCTGCTTACTAGAAACCACAGTAGATCAAAACAGTCAGATGGGGAATTGTTACTAATTTTGTTTTCTTTGGAATGAGAATAGGATCTGCATCATAATGTTTACTTAGCTGGTTGTTGTTCTAACATATCTATATTTCATTCTTAAGAGTGTAACAGTATACTATCCAAGCAATCCTGTTGACCCCTGCAACCTACAGGATTGAATGACATCAGGCATGGTCAGGGTTGGTCAAATCCCATGAAAGGAATTCTAGACTAATCCTTTCAACTGTTTAGCGTTGGTAGTCTAAATGGCTACATGAAAGTTTGATACACAATAGGAGTCATGTCAACGTGATAATATTCTCCAAATTGAAGCAAATTAAATATTTGTAAATCACTGATTAGGGTGATTAGTCATGCATTGCATGCATGCAACCATTTCTAATTATTATTATTTTTTTTTTAGCTTTGGTATTTTTATACCACTTTTTGATAACATTGAATCAGTTAACATTGGTTAATGTGTTGGGAGTCATGAACTAACAACGAATACATTGGGCATGCACCTTTATTATTCAAGGTTATCATCTTTTGTTTGCTTTGTTCTTTATTAGTCTTGTTCCTAAAATACCACAGTCCTTTGAGTCTCTGCTCTTTGTCGAATGTAAACAAATTGAATTAGAAGCACTCTTAATTCTATGTGCATATGCATATTTACAAGTGACCACATTGACCAGTGGTGCGTTGATGTTTGCATAAATGAATATGTGTATGTTTTTATTGCTCTCACTGTTTCTTTAGCATATGTGTGCATGAAGTTTAAGTAGAGTCTTAATGACAAACCACTGATACATGGTTTCCTCCAGGGTATCCTTTATTAGCTTCAGTAAATTCACCATTAGCATGATGTCAGAGGTGATTGTCACTTAGACGAAAACATTATTGAGTAACTGAGCAGGGTGGTCTTCATAGTATCTGACTCCACACTGGTCCCATTAAGTACCCTAGAGGATCCCCCATCTGACCCCAGGGGGGCCGTCAATGGCTTATGATGTCAGCCTGCCCTCCTCCATGTTTTTCTAGGCCTCATTAAAAAAACTGCAATAGAAACCTCCTGCGTCTAGTCTCCTGGTCCTAGAGGAATGTGTCATGATGACTGATGAGGCTTTGGATATAAAAAACATGAGGATGTATGTACTCTAAAACTCAATATAGTTCAATAAATCAATGGTATTATGCAGGTTGATCTTTAACAATTTGAATAGTGAAGCCTTTGAACCCATTCTAATCAAATGCCAAAACTAACCACCCTCTTGCTGCCACCAAGCTTTTTTACTCCCTTTTCAAGACCAGTAGGCATATGAAACTATTTTTACAGTGAAATAATACTCCTTAGCTTTTTTTTCGTTTGCTATTCAAGCTCGTTTTACTAAAACATACTGTTAGACCTCCCCTACCGTGATGTTTTTGTTTAATTTCCTTTCAGTTATTTCAGGCCATTTTTGATCACTGGAAACATGGCCTCTGTGCAGCTTTTCGGGTTGGTTTCTTTGGCTCCAGTGTCTCTGCTGAATCTCAGAGAAAGAGAAACTAAGAAACCGAGGGCGAGAGGAGGAAGAAGAGAAGTCATAAGCCGAGAAGACCGAATGAAAGATTTATCACAGAGCCCAGCTTGCAACTGTCTTCCTGCCTGGCCAGCCTGCTCGCTGCTTCACATCCAGCCCTTTGATGCTATTCACTCATTCAGCCGGTGTTACGTTTCATCAAGCTGCCTGATCAAGCCTATCCAGTTTGAGCAGTGATCTAAGGACACTTTATTGATCAGGTGGCTTCCAAAGGATGTCCTGATTTGTGTATGGAACAATAACCCCTTACCCAAAACAGTAGTCGTGGGAAATGGGTTCCAGTGATGAGCATGAAGGTTGGCGAGTGA